AACGGAGAGCGAGGTAAGCCATTTGTTAACCAATGCTTCTCACCTCCTAGGCCCACACGATTGGTTGGGTTGACCCATTGACAGCTGATATGCAGCCTCGAGTTTAAGTGTCGTTTAACGGGTGTGAAGTGCCCTCAAAATGAGTTCTCTTGAAAGTTGTTGGATTAGAACTTTCGAGCTTGTTCAGGAGCCGCAACACGTGCGAATGACCGTGCGGGCCGTAATTGAGTGAAATTTATCAAAAGTCTGAAACGGGATATAGATTATGAAGTCCGGAGCCACCCTACAGTCTACGTGGGACAATACTATAGAGCGAGTAAGAGATAGGAAGTAGGTCATCAGAAAGTCAAGTTGCTAAGAGAATTACTTAGATCTCGACTTTATATTTAGCATCTACCGCAGATAACCGCGGGTCTTCACATAATTGAGGCCATCCAGCCTTTTCATCTCTCAGTGAGCGATTTGCACCTTCTTATCCATTCATGAGGACAGAGTGGTAGAGAAAGACGTGCAGACATTGTAGGCTCATATGTTTGGTGCTGAACAAATAAACAATAAACTGTACCCCAGACACTTCGTCCAGGATGGGAACCCCTGCGAGACAGCGTAACTTTTATCTGATGCACAGAGCGTTGAGGTCGCCCCAAACACCCACGGCCACTGACTTCAGCCGGAGATCTGGCCTGTTTATGTCAGCTTACATTCACTTTGCTTTGGCGAGAACTGTACCCCTACTAATCCTCAGGGCCCCAAGAGAGAATTGCGAAAAATTATTCTATCCAAGTTATTTCGCACTTGTTACAGTTGCTATGACTATGCCACTTCTCTATCGGTGATGTACTATGCCAGATACTTATGTGAGCTAGGCCTCTGATCTAATTGTCTAAATATCACTACTCCTATAAAACATAGCTTTCGTTTTAAGGTGCATGAGTATTCAAGTTATGGATTTAAAGATGAGCATTTCAAGGACTAGAGAGTGGGAACTAGGATGAATCATTGTGTAGTACGCCTACTGCCACGACGCAAGCACTGAATGTTATTTTGAAAGCATAGCGCGCCAAAAAAAGCACTCCTGATCTCTAAAAATAACTACTAAGTAAGAGACCACACCCTTATTCTGCGTTAACACAAGTAACGAAGTGATTTTTTCCTATATCAGGTGCTAGGATAATAATAAACTTACTCAATTAAAAACATACATAGTGAGTTGCTACATGATGAAACTCAATCTAAATGAGTGAGTACAGTGCAAAGGAACGTGCTTTTACCTGTAAATTTCCCTTCACGTCGGAGTATTCCTATGAGTGGCCAGAAAGAGATCAGCCTACAGTTGACAGAATTTTATTACTCTTTTATAAAAAACTTTCATTGCTATAGTCTTAAAAAAACTTTGGAATGAACATTCCTTTCCAATGGATCTTATTGAAGCTTGGGGAACTACATGGGGTACATCACAAGATTCTGTCTTTAGTCTTGAAATGCTCAATATTTTAAATCAATAACTTGAATAAAGACTAAGAAAGCATGTCACTGAAAAATTTAAATCAATCTAGGATAACAGCAATACCAAAAGATCATCATGAATTGAGGAAAGACAGACAAGAACTGAGGTGCTTGGAGCAGGGAAGACTGTAATGAGGCCCTGTTTCAGGGTCACAAAGCCATTTTATTGTACAAAGGCAAAGTCAGGCACATGTAGTGAGTAGAAATATGTATGAAGTGAGTGGCTGGCTAAATGCTGACCTTCCATGAAATATGGATCAAGAATTAGCAAACTCTAAACTATTAATGTGTTAAGATCAAGACAGAGGCAGCCTAATCCTCTTCCCTACCCTCATGCTGGCCAAAGCAGAGCCAAAGCATCTACAGTAAACAAAACAAAACAAAAAGCACTGACGGTAACCAATGGTAGGAAATGGGGCTGCAGAGTAAAATGCACATGTTACAAAACTGGACATGTAGAAATAACAATGTAATTAATTAGATGGGAAGGTGAGCAGGAGAAAGAAGTAGGGAAGAAGTAAAGGCAGATGTAAGGCAAATTGGTGCAAGGTCAAAGGAAAAAACTAGTCTGGTGAGGGAAAGGAAAATAGAGTGAAATGAGGCGTGGCTGAGTGAACAGACGTGAGAGAGATAGAGTAGCGATTATGTCTAATTACTGAGCAGCTTTCAGGTGGGAGATGGATGAAATCTATTTGACCTAAAGGTATAGAACCAGGGCCAGCAAATGTAAATTACAGGGAGGTGGACTTGAGCTGCATGTTATAACAGCCAGACTTGCCCAAAGGAGCAGCGAGTTGCCTCAGGAGAGAATAAATTACCCATTGCTGGAAGAGTTCAAGCAGAGAACAGAAAGAACATGTAATAATAAACAGGTAATACTATAAAAGTGCTTGCAAACATTGTGTTAAGAGCTCCCTCACATCACATGATCATTGGATGTGGAGTGCCTGTGAGTCAGCACTGATATTTTGTCCATTTCAAAATAATGGACAAAGGCTCAGAGAGATTCAATGATCCAGCCTAGAGAGTTTTCTACTCATCCCTATGGAGGTTTCCTTCTTAGACGGAAATTCTCTTGAGGAGATTAGAGGATCACCAGCATAAGAAGTCACATGGTCAAATTTTCCTCCATGTTGAGACTTCAAATAATGGGAGGGACTGGCATTTGAAAATGTGAGAACAAATTAAATTTTATTGAGCCAATAAAATCTAATCCACTTAACAATATCCTACAGTATCTTCTTTGCCAAAATTAAATGCCTCAAGGGTGTTTCTCCATAATCTGCTAAACTCGATTTCCATCCCAATTAAAGTCTCTGATTAAAACAGGGTATCATACTCAGAGTATAAGTCCACAGTCCATTTATTTCCTGTCCTTCCTTCCTGGGGGCTTCTGGCTCTTCCTCAGAACCAGTAAGCTCATTTTTACCTGGGTTCTCTGCACTGGCTGTCATATTTGCCTTTCCCATTTTCCCTGAGTGGCTCTTAAGACCATATAATGACTTTTTCCCAGATTTTGCTTAATGTTATCTTCTCAATGTGTCCTATGTGTCCTATAAAATGATATACCTCTTCTTCCTCCAAATGTTCTCCCCACAAGTGGTTCATTTACTTAGTATTTTCATTGGTTATTGTCTGTCTTTATTGCTGTGCATTTTTAAGGGGCAAGGACTTTTGCCTTTGTTCAGTGATTCATCTCAGGCTCCATAAATGCAACTGGCACATAGTAGGTACACAAATAGAAGATTCTGAAATGCAGTATTTACTGAAGAGCTTTCATTAGTGGCCTGGTAAAGGAGTCATGGGCATTGATCCAGTGATCATTTATTCTACTATTTAGTCACCTCTTTGACAGATCATAACCTTGATTGCCAACTTGTTGGATTGAGGGATGGCTAGGGGACAATTAAAACTCACCTTTAGGTGTGTCTATGAAGGCATTTCTAGATTAACTAAGGGGAGAAGACCTGCCCATAATGTGAGTAGCATTATCCAATAGCCAGCTAGAATACAAGGTGAAGAAGGAGGAAGCTTGCT